CTACGCGGAGCGAATCCAAATTAGTCGAGCTAGTGGGTACTGTACCGGATGGTTAAACCAAAAAAATAGTAATCAATATTAAGATCCTTGACTTAGTGCGTTTTGTGATGCCTATCCTGCCTTCGATAATTTTTTTTCTAAAGCCATCTGTGCCGTGTGAGAAAAGCCAGCAATGTTAAGATTCCTGACTTAATGGAAAATGACATGTTGCTAAAACTAGAACATGCCAGTTTTTATATTCATATACTGTAGATATGATAAATTGAGTTTCTCAGATAGAGGTTATTAAAGACTGCTGGTAACAGGATCTGTTGACTCGTCAAAAACTGGCTGCTCGGCAGCATTATATGAGAACAAAGCTTTAGTTGTTCTTGATGCGTTAAGACCCTTGTCTTATATGTATTTACTTTTAGGTTTGTCGATGTTGATATTGAGAAAGCAATGCAACGTGTCCTAAAGAGACATATATCTACAGGTACATATTCCAACTGTTGTCAACTCTTTTTACTAGAAAAGGTGTAAACAAAACTGGGTAGTAGACTGATTGGAGTCTTTTCATTTGTGTTGTAGGGAAGGCCCCTGATGTTGCTAAGTGGCGGGTAAGTGTTGCCCCTTTCGAAAATAACAACAACAACAACAAGAACAATAAACCTAGTGTAATCCCACAAGTGGGGTATGGGGAGGGTAATGTGTATGCAGACCTTACTCCTGCCTTGTGATGATAGAGAGGTTGTTTCCGATAGACCCTCGGCTCAAGGAACAATCAAAAAAAGCAACAAACAATAGCAATAAGGTAATAGGATAACGGAAGCAAACGACACAACGTACAATAATAAAGATCCAAGAATAAGAAAAACAAGAATAGTGCTAGTACTACTGGTAAGACTAGGAGAAACTCTTGTCTGTTTGTCAACCTTCAACCCGACCTCCACATCTTTTTATCAAGGGTCATGTCCTCGGTAAGCTGAAGCAATGACATGTCCTGCCTAATCACCTCTCCCCAGTACTTCTTTGGCCTACCTTGTGTTTTAAAAAGCGATCGCTTCGTCGCTTTAAGTGAGAAGCGAAGCGATGGCTGCTCGCTTTTCCATGCCTGAGGCAACTCGACCAGACAAAGCACTCGCTTCAGTCGAAGAAGCGCCAAGCGACCTTGAAGCGAGAAGCGCATAATCACTCGCTTCTGTTCAGAGGGGTCAGTTTTTGGAAAAAAAAAAGTTTGGGTCTGTTTTTTTATTATACAAAACAGACCCCTAAGACCAAAGTGAACGACCATTTCTCTCTTCTTCCCAAAATCAATTGCTGCTGCTAGGGTTCCAGTCGCCAGAGACCTCCTCCAGGTAATTTTTCTTCTTTCCTCTTTCTTCTCCTTTTTTTCTTTCTTTTTTCTTCTTGTTCCCGTCCAGGCGTCTGCTCACAGCTAGGGCAGACGCGATTCTTTTTTCCTTTTATTTATTAATTTTTATTTGTATTTCAATTTATAAAGTTATTTTATANTCCTGTCGCTTTTTTTCGCTTCTCGCTCTCAAAAACACTGGGCCTACCTCTATCCTTCTTCAGACCCGCCATGGTCAACCTCTCTCACCTTCTAACCGGGCATCTATGTTTCTCGTCTTCACATGCCCGGACCATCTCAACCTCGATTCCTGCAACTTGTCCTCCACGGGGGCTACTCCCACCTTTTGTCCCCTAATAACTTTGTTCCTAATCTATTTTTTTATGAAGTAATTGGTTTCATTACTGGCATCAAGGAGATGCATAAATTACAAAAGAGTGTAGCAATTGTTAGCTCCTTACAAACGTTTATACTAATACTAGGGAGCTAACAAAATTCAAAAAACTATCAGGGGAATCTATAGGGGATAGATAAGCCCAGCTATACAAATACATGAAGCATTTAGCCTTGAGTTTGTGGGGAGAAGTTGATACTTCATCAAAACACCTGCTGTTTCTCTCATTCCAAATGCTCCAAAAAATAGCTGCAGGTATCATCTTCCATACTTTCCTGATGGTGATGGTGATGGTAGACTCAAAAGCATCCCTAATATTATGTGGCATGACCCATCTAAGTCCAAAGAGTGATAAACATACTCCATAAATCTATTGCCACAGGGCATTGGAGAAAAAGATGGTTGTGAGTTTCTGCCTCCCTCTGGAACATGTAGCATCTATTCACAATCTGAAAATTCCTCTTGGCTAAGTTGTCTTGTGTCAGACAAGCCTCATAAAGTGCAGTACAGTTGAAGCAGATGACTTTGGGTTGCAACTTGATTTTCCATATTAACTTCCAAGGCCAATGGTTAGTTATTACATTGTGAGTTCCTGCTAACTTGTAGGCTGCTTTGACTGAGTACTTTCCTGCATCTGCACTACCCCATTTGAACTGGTCAGGTACTAGAGTGTTGCTTGAGAAATTGTTGAGTGAGGAAAGAAGTCTGAGCAGATCCTCATATTCCCAATCTTGCAAGTTCCTTCTAAATGTTATGTTCCATGAGTTGCCTTATCTGCACTGATGAACTGTTGAGTTTGGATCACTAACCATTTGAAAGAGAGCAGGGTAGTCATTCCTTAGGGGTGTGTTGCCTAGCCATTTGTCCTTCCAGAATTTTATTTGCTGTCCATCTCCAACTGCGAAGTGTTGGTTTTGTGAGAACTCCTCCCAGAGTTTGCAGATGCTCTTCCAAACTCCAACTCCATGTGGTGCTCTAGATAGCTTGGTGCACCAGTGGCTTTGGATTCCATGCTTGGCATTGGCAACTTTCTTCCATAGGCTCTGCTCCTCTTGTGTATATCTCCAAAGCCATTTCATCAATAAGCATTTGTTGTGCAAAGCTAAGTCCCTGACCCCTAGTCCACCTTGGTGCTTTGGTAAGATAACTTTAGACCACTTTACCAGGTGAAACTTGTGACCATCTTTAGTCCCTTCCCATAGAAAGTTCCTTCTGATCTTGTCAAGCTGCTTCAGGACCTTACTAGGCAATGGAAAGAGTGACATCTGGTTCCTAATCTTATCTTTACTGGTATGCCCACATATTCATCTCAACATCCTCATTTCTGCAACTTTCATCTTCTTGGCATGGGATCCTTTTTTGAAAAAAATAAAAGTAAATTAAAAGGTTCAATGTTAATCCCTTTTAGGTATCATCTGGAATTGACATTCCTATTGTTCTTCAGTTATTAAATAATTTTTTGGCTGTTCGTTGCTAAAATCTTTCTGCAGATAGATTACAATGACAGGCCTAACGCTGAGCTAATTATGAAGTCCAAGAAAAATGCGGATTTGGTGATCAAGTCAGTGGACGAATTGAGGTGATTCCCCGACTCATTACCTGCAGTGAAAGTAAATTCAGCAGTACAGATGTTTGTCTGAGGGGAAATTTGAATGATGGTGTCAAAAATAAGCAAAATCGAGTTTTACGGATTGGGTTGAATCTGAAACAGCGTATGCAGGACCTTGCAGTCTTGCTTGCATTTATGCTTGAGGTAGTTAATAACTTTAAGGGACTGAAAATAATGGTTATACTTTTTCCTGCAAAATAAGATGGAATCCTTCTGGCTTGTAACGCCGAAGATAGGTAAGTTTACCTTTTACGAGTTCATTTCTTCCCGAATTTTGTAAAGAGTTGATCGATACCAGTGCAGGGAGCCTCCTGCTTGCTACTGTAGATGGCAATGAAATAAAAGGATACATTTATATGTAACATCATTTTCTATTTAGTTATTTTTGGTGGAGTTGATGGCCACGGGCTGGGATAGTCACAGAAAATAAGGAGATTGATTTAGGACAGTGCACATGAATTTACTCACTCAGTGAGAGAATTCTCATTATAGCAAAAGAATTGTACAAAAGAAAAACGAGGCATTTGGCGATTTGTGGAGGGAGTTCTAAACGAGAACAAAAGCCCAGTGCGTAGAGTGTTAAGCTTTCTGTCCTGGACATTAACTAATACATACTGTCCATAATAATACTACTTGTATTAACACAGCATCCTGCTCAGGTCATCGTCTGCATTTAGTCGATACTTGTGTCACGCGTTCAGCTTCTGTTCTTGCGTTTCTCCTGTGTTGAATCTCAGAGAATAATTATCAGATCTAAATATATCATCTTATATAGATTCAGACATTCTAATCTTACAAAAAATATATAAACGGCCTCTAAGTCAACAACCCATTTGATCATCGTGTTCACTCACTTTTCGACAGATTATCTCTTGAGGAAAACGTGGCTAGGTCAGTAAGCTGGATTTCCAATCTTGTTGGGGTTACAGTTTGATCTCATCATGGGCTCAGGTTATCTTCTCATGCATGGATCTTTTTTCCCTTCCCTAATTAATCTCTTTTTTTCATTAATCTCAAAGTTATGTTGCTTTTTCTTTTTCTTTTTCCGAAGGGCAGCCTAAGAATGGGAGTGATCGTCGTCCTTTGAAGCTTTTGTACGTTGAATGAAAAAAGTAGCAAACCGGTGCTTCCAATCCAAGGCTTGACTTGCTAGTTTCTACACATGTGATCTGCAGGATTTGCTTCTATTTTTCGTCAACCCGTCCCTCTTTTTTAGCATTCATAGACAATACTCTCTTTCACACTTCTGTGAGAATTGCATAATGACACACACACACACAAACCATCGTACAACATTTATCTGGACCATTTTGAGGATAAGAAAAAAGTTGGAAAAAAAAGAGAGTACTCATTCTTTGTATTTGGCATTGTTTTCTTTCATTTAATAACTTTACTCTTCGAAATCTAAAAATCAATAGAAGAGGGAAAAGAAATCTATCCCGGCCGCATCATATGATATATAAAAGCATGTTTGACGATTGAATTGTTAGTAATTATCAGGAGGTCCACAGTCCATTAAATCCGATGGATATGCCCGTGATATGATCAGATAAAAATCACTATTATAAATCTGTTCCAATCAGAAAATAAAGAGCATATATCAAGGAGAGAAAATTGGATCAAAACATATATTCTGGCGTTGAATACGCAATTAATCGTCCCATGATGAGGTGCATCAATTCAATTGTTTGCACCAAGTCCATATCAACCATGAATCATAATCTAGTTTATACAATTAAAATGATTAACGAGTATAAAATTATTTAGTTTATACAATAATAACGAGTATAGATTTCTGTATGTTGTTACCTAAACCCTGAACAAAGAGTCACTGTGTGATATACCTGAGATTCATTCATTGTTTTCATGTGAAGGTTGTATACGGGTAAACTCGGGGTAACTTACACCCTGATTTTCTGGTGGATCAAACGAAGCAAAGGCATAATTATATGGGGTCGGAATCGAAGCCAGAACGCCTCGTACTGAGGTCTGAACGGAGTGGTCGCCACCGGACTTGATAAGACACTACTTCTCCGATCCTGGAACAAGCTCCGAGACCTCGAAAAATAAGAAAACTTTACACACGACCAACAGAGGACTGCGATATCTGCACCCCATCGGATATCACGGCGCAGATCTCGGTCTGTATCGGCAATGGATCAGTTATTAACGAAAAAGAAGATTTTTTACCTTTCTTAGAATTGTACTAGGGTTGAAACTCCTATACTATATAAAGGGTAGTTTTTATTTAATGGACACATTGTAACACGCGTATCAAAGCAATACAAACTTGTTTCTGTGCTTTCTAGTTACTAAAAATTCCTTATTTTAATCATAGCTTTTCATACACATTTGGCTCCGAATCGAGGATCCGGTCGAGGGAAAAATTATTGTTAAGTTTGAATTCGAGCCTGGACTTAACATCTCAACTGGTTTGGTTATTTATTTTATCTTTAATTCGTTTATCTAACGTTCTTGATTACTTATGTCGAATCAATCCACATATCCTTAAAACCGCGTACAAATTCAATTGTTATCTATTTTAAGGGTAAACAGTTTGGCACCCAATGTGGGGCTAAGGATAATAGTGGTGGTTTGATACAAATCTTCGTAACACACTTTGTTTTACACTTGTTCTTTAAGGTTTCAATTTTAGGACAACTTAAAAATGTCAAACTCTCAGTCTACTCACTTAAACATTGATGCTGAGTCTGGCCATCACGGTGAAAACAACAATATGGTACCTAGCAATGAGGTACCCCCTGCTGATCCCAACGGAGTCTCAGTTGCAGACCCAGTCGATGCTAACTCGCATGTGGCCATCGACGCCAACCTGCTTACCGAACCCGAGAACAGCGTTCGCGGAGGAGCCCGACCAACAAGGAGCGCCCGAAGGCGAAGGCAATGGAGTCAGTCTACGAGTGATTTTCGAAATGTTACAGGCCCAACAGACGGCGATAGCGTAACTGCAAAATCAAAGTTGCGCCCCCAGCAGGGTTGAGCCCGAACCATCCTGGGAAAACACTCAGAGAAATGAGCAGATTACCAAAAGGTTGGCTGGGACTGAGGCCGGTGACAGCCCCGAAGTAATGAAGATGCTTGAAGCATTAACGAAACGGGCAGAATCAGGAGAAAAGAAAATTAAGGCAAACGAAAATAAAGTGGAAACATATAATTCTCGGGTCGATCAAATCCCAGAAGCGCCCCCGATATTGAAAGGCTCGGATTCCAAGAAATTTGTTCAAAAGCCTTTTCCTCCGAGCGCGGCACCGAAGCCAATCTCGAAGAGGTTTCGTATGCCCGATATTCCAAAATATAACGGAACCACAGACCCAAATGAGCATGTGACCTCCTGCACATGCGCCATCAAAGGTAATGACCTGGAATACGACGAAATCGAGTCGATGTTATTAAAGAAGTTCGAGGAAACTCTGTCAAAAGGAGAAATGATATGGTACCATAACCTGCCCCTGAATTCCATTGATTCGTTCGCTATGCTCGCGGATGCTTTTGTAAAGGCTCATGCCAGGGCCATTAAGGTCGAGACCAGAAAATCGAATCTTTCCAAGGTTAAGCAAAGGGACAACGAGATGCTCAGGGAGTTCGTGTCAAGATTTCAAATGAAACAGATGGACTTACCTCCGGTTGCGGATGATTGGGTCGTTCAGGCATTCACTCAAGGACTTAACCCCCGAAGCTCCTTGGCCTCGCATCAACTGAAACAAAACTTGGTAGAGTACCTGGTGGTAACTTGGGCCAACGTCCACAACAGGTACCAGTCAAAAATCAGAGTCGAGGACGACCAACTTGCAGCTCCTTCCGGGTCTGTTTATCCCATCAGAACTGACAACAGGCCTAAGAGAGTCGTCGATCATGAATCAAGACCGGTCCGAGATCGGTACCAACCATATGGAGTAGATCGAAGGGGAAACGGGTTTGGGCGCAACTCTACAAAGAATGAAAGGAGAAATGATCGAGGACCCAATAGCCGAGGCCTGATGAGCAAAAATGGTTTTGACAGGCCACTCGGGGGAGGGGAAGCTATGAGATTATCAGAGTATGACTTCAACGTTGATGCATCCAACATCGTATCCGCCATAAGGCGCATCAAGGAGACCAAGTGGCCTCGACCATTGCAGTTCGATCCTACCTAGATAGATCTTAACATGATGTGTAAGTATCATGGCACTCATGGCCACAGGACCGAGGACTGCAGACAATTGAGAGAAGAGGTTGCCCAGCTATTTAACAACGGACACATGCGGGAATTTTTGAGTGATCGAGCCAAAAACTACTTCAAAAACAGGAACGCCAACAAACAGACTGAACAAGAGGAACCCCAACACGCATCAACATGATCATCAGGGGGGTCGATGTCCCTCAAGAACCAATGATAAAATGCACTAAAATGTCAATCACGAGGGAGAAACGCACCCGAGATTATCCCGGAAGGAACCATTTTGTTCAGTGACGAGGATGCAGAGGGCATCGTACAACCTCTTAATGATGCACTGTAATTTATGTACTTATTTATAAATCTCGAGTTAAACGTGTGTTGATTGATCCAGGTAGCTCGGCCTACATCATCAGATCGAGGGTCGTAGAGCAGTTGGGTTTACAAGATCAAATAGTGCCAGCCGTCCGGGTGTTGAACGGGTTTAACATGGCATGTGAAACTGATAAGTAGGGATTTTGATTGCTTATTAGCACCTTTTAGCTTTTGTTTTTGTCCGAAAGCATTGAATTATGTTCCCAAAACTTATGAAATTGTGCAAATTATAGGAATGCTGGAAGTTTGGTCTCCCGAGGTGAAATCCAACTCAAAAAGGAGTGTTCCGAAGTACAAGGCAATAAAGGGCACAAAGCATAAATGTGCGGTCCGCAGAACAAATTGCGGACCACAGAAGAAATTGCGGACCGCAGAATTCCATCTGCGGCCGCAAACCAAGAAGAAATACCCAACAGGACTTTAAACAATGTGTAGCCACAGAACTGAGCTTAAGAGTCAAAGATCAGAGAGTATGCAAAAAGACCAAGTCCATTAGCCTTTGCGAAGTGCGGGTTGCACAAGAATTGTGCGGCCATAGAACATTGCCTCAAGACCGCAGTCCAGAAATGTGCGGTCGTAGAACTCACCTGCCTACCAACTGAAGAAATCTACGGACCACACATGGAATTGTGCGGCCGCAGAACCTCCCGAGGGGCATTTTTGTCCGCGCTTTTTGACCCTGTATAAATAGATAAGTTTCATAAAATTAGGTCAAGTTTGAACATACAAAGCTGCTGTAGACGTTTCTCTTTGCTATTTTAGGAAGTTTTAGATTATTTGAGTATTTTAACATTAGATTTCATCATTTTTATCTTTCATTATGAGTTTAATTAGCTTTTCATCTTTATTTTATTCAAATCCCATTACGAGCAGATAGATTTTTACTAGGGTTGTGACCCAACCCTAGTGTGTAAACCTTATAGGTGATTAATTTTATGCCTGTTTATGATTGTGTGTTGATTATTTAGCTTAGTTCATGCTTTAATTTTAAAATTAATGGTTGCAAACAATGATTCATGCCTATTTGGCTTAGTCTCTACTTGAGAAAGAGGGACCTAGTCTATGATAACTTAGCTAATAAGGAATTGGGTTAATTGAGAGATTGATTAACCTAATTAAAGGGTTCAAACTAGAGATAGTAAGAACCCAACTTGAGCTCTTATCAACTGTTTTGGTTGACACTCATTTGGAATCGAGAAAGTTAAATTGGGCAAAATCACTCTCTGACCGAGAGGTATTGAGTGGGTAACGTGGAGTTGAGAGCTATAATACACCCCAATCAACAAAATAAGTATAAACATCTTTATCTCATTAGGCAAACACCTACGTTATGGTCACATCCCTAGGACTTTAATCCAATTGGAAAAACCTCAAAAATATTTATCTATAATTTATTTTCTTTAGCTTGCATTCATTATAGTAATAGTAGAAGTAAAAAACCAAACCTTATTGTGGTAGTGCAATCTTAGATAACCCATTTGCTTGCCTCAAATATATACTCCTAACACCCTTCATAACTCCCTGTGAAAATTGACCCCGACTTTTGTTGGGTAATATTATTGCATACGACCGTATCATATCTCCTATAGAGGTGTGTTGTGGACGTCACCAGAAACCACTAAAGGGGAGATAACTCTACCCGTGAACACCGGCGGGACCATCCAGGAAACAAAGTTCTATGTGATCGAAGGGGACATGAAATATAACGGTCTATTGGGGATACCATAGGTTCACAACATGAGGGCAGTACCTTCGACCTTACACTAGGCGTTAAAATTCCCTACTACGGGAGGAATCAAGACGGTATACAGAGAAAAACCGACTGCAAAGGAGATGTTCGCAATCGATGAAGTACGACCGGTGCCCGCCGTCCCGACATTAAGGAACACAGAACCGATCAGAAAGGCCTAAGTCAAATAGCAATCGCCGATGCCGGTCCCAGTCGGACCAGAGGATCGAGGAGCTGACGAGGAAGATGATTACATAATTTCAAGATCCTTCATAGCTCTTGATGATAATGACACTACCAAATCAACGGTCGAAGAGCTGGAGCAAGTCATATTGATCGAACACCTGCCCGACCGGAATGTATACCTCGGCATGAGGTTAACTCCCGAGCTCAAGAAAAAACTTATTGAATTCCTTATAGCTAACATGGATTGTTTCGCTTGGTCCCATCTTGACATGACAGGGATCCCGCCGGAGGTAAACACTCATAAGCTGAGTTTGGACCCGAAGTTCCATCCGGTCAAATATAAAAGGATACCGCAGTCCGAAGTCAAGCACGCATTCATCAAGGATGAGGTATCTAAACTCCTTAAAATAGGATCCATTCGGGATGTTAAGTACCCGGACTGGTTAGCTAACTTAGTAGTAGTACCTAAGAAAGGAAATAAGCTAAGAATGTGTGTAGATTATAAGTATATGAACAAGGCATGCCCAAAGGATTCTTTTTCTTTGCCTAACATCGATTGAATGATCGACGTGACAGCCGGGCACGAGATACTCAGTTTTCTCAATGCTTATTCCGGGTACAACCAAATTCGGATGGACCCGGACGATCAAGAAAAAACTTCTTTTATCACTAAATTCAGCACCTATTGTTATAACGTAATGCCATTCGGATTAAAGAACGTCGGTGCCACTTATCAATGCCTACTAAATCGAATGTTTGAAGAACAGATAGGAAAAATAATGGAAGTTTACATTGACGACATGTTAGTTAAGTCCCTGCGAGCAGAGGACCATTTGAAACATTTGCAGGAAACCTTCGACATATTGGAAAAATACAATATGAAGCTGAATCCGGAGAAGTGCACATTCGGGGTCAGATCGGAAGGTTCCTCAGATTCATGGTATCCAATCGGGGGATCGAGATTAATCCCAACAAGATCAAGGCCATAGAAGACATCACCATGGTGGATAGCGTCAAGGCCGTTCAGAGGCTGACCGGGCGTACAACCGCCCTGGGCCGTTTTATATCAAGGTCCTCGGACAAAAGCCATCGGTCCTTCTCACTTTTGAAAAAGAAGAATAGCTTTTCCTGGATCCCGGAATGCCAGCAAGATTTGGAAGAACTCAAACGATACCTTTTGAGTCTGCCCCTGCTCCACACTCTGAAAGCGGATGAGCAACTGTACCTGTACTTGGCGGTGTCTGAGGTGGAGGTAAGTGGAGTTTTAGTTCGAGAAGAGAAAGGTACGTAATTTACTATTTACTATGTCAGTAGAACTCTAGGCAAGGCCGAAACAAGATATCCTCACCTGGAAAAATTTGCGCTCGCTTTACTAAGCGCCTCCAGGAAACTAAAACCGTACTTGCAATGTCACCCCATTATGTGTCGTAACCTCTTACCCACTGAGGAACATAATGCACAAGCCTGAGCTCTCGCATCGTTTGGCCAAATGGACCGTCAAAATCAGCGAGTACGATATCAAGTATCGACCCAGAACTGCCATAAAATCCCAAATTTTGGCCGACTTCGTGGCCGAATTTACGCCGGCCTTAGTGCCCGAAGTCGAAAGAGAATTATTGCTAGCATCGGGGACTACCTAGAGAATTTGGACCCTTTTTACTGACGGCGCCTCGAACGTAAAGGGGTTCGATCTCGGCATCGTGCTGAAGCCTCCTACAGGGAATGTAGTTAGACAGTCTATTAGAACTGTGAAATTAACTAACAATGAGGTCGAGTATGAGGCTATGATTGCAGGTCTCGAATTATCTAAAAGCCTTAGGGATGAGGTGGTCGAATCTAAGTGCGACTCCCTCCTTGTGGTAAATCAAGTCAATTGGACGTTCGAAGTAAAAGAGAAACGAATGTGAAGGTATTTAGACAAGTTACAGGTAACGCTACATCAATTCAAGGAGTGGACCCTACAACACGTGCCCCGAGATCAAAACAACGAGGTCGATGCTCTAGCTAACTTGGGTCCTTGGTTGATGACAATTTATTCAGCTCGGGGACAGTAGTACAACTCATGATGTCAGTGATAGAAGAAGGTCATGCCGAAGTAAATTCCATGAGTTTAACTTGGGATTCGAGGAACAAGTAGATAGATTACTTGAAGAATGGGAAATTGCCCTCGGATCCTAAAGAATCGAGAGCTCTGCGTACGAAGGCTGCCAGGTTTAGCTTATCCGAAGGGAACCTACTTAGAAGAACGTTTGACGGTCCACTGGCCATATGCTTGGGGCTAGGAGATACCGAGTATGTCTTGAGTGAAGTTCACGAAAGCACTTGCGGGAAACATTCAGGAGCGGAATCTTTGGTTCGGTAATGAATCAGGACCGGCTACTACTGGATAGACATGGAGAAATACGCGAAGGACTTATTATGAAGATGTGACAGCTGCTAGAGATATGCACCGATGATCCATCGACCGGGAGAGATACTCCATTCGGTCTTGTCCCCATGGCCGTTCATGAAATGGGGAATGGTCATCCTGGGTCCCCTACCATGGGCACCTGGTTAGTCTCAATTCATACTATTTATGACTGATTATTTTTCTAAATAGGTCGAAGCTCAAGCGTTCGAGAAAATCCGAGAAAAAGAAATCGTTGACTTCATTTGGGACCACATAATATGCCGATTTGGGATACCGGCCG